CTCCTTCAGGTAACCAGGACCCAAGCCGTTTAGGACTTTATAGGTCATTACCAACACCTTGAATTGGGCCCGGACTTCAATGGGAAGCCAGTGAAGCTGACGGAGAACTGGAGTCATGTGAACATAACGTCCAGTCCCCGTCAGCAGCCTGGCAGCTCTATTTTGGACCAATTGAAGTATCCGGACCATCTTCAAGGGTAGCCCCACGTAGAGTGCGTTACAGAAGTCGAGACGGGAAGTCACCAATGCATGTGTCACTGTCACAAGGCAGTCATTCTCCAGATAGGGGCGCAGCTGATGAATCAGCCGAAGCTGGAGGAAAGCGCTCCTCGCCACTGCTGTTACCTGAGCTTCCAGTGAAAGCTCTGGGTCAAGGAGCACTCCCAAGCTGCGGACCTTGTCCCTAAGAGGGAGTGCAACCCCATGCATGACAAGGTTCAATTCACCCTCTCCGAAGCCCGATCCGCCAACCAACAGGACCTCCGTCTTGTCTGGATTGAGCTTCAGTTTATTGGCCCTCATCCAGCCCATTACCTCGGCCAGGCACCGGTTCAGCACAGCCACTGCCTCACCTGGATTGGTGGAAAACGAGAGGTTTTCTTCTTTCTTGTTGCTACAGGAATTGTCTACAGGCATCTTTCCCAAAAATGTCTCTCATTTCAGTCCTCAGTTCTTCAGCCTCACGGTCAATTAAGCAATGCAAACCTGTGCTTTATGTGGACTTTAAATTCTTCAGGGATGCTACTTAAGTCATATTTTGGCACCACATTTCTTTTGGCAATCTTTTTTAGCTTGACTCTATCTTTTGAAATTAAGAGCTGATGGTCACTGTTGTAGTCTGCTTCTGGTGTTGTTTTGGCAGTAAAAATGCATCACCCTTGGCTATTAATTGCATAATGCATTTGATTTCTGTATTGGCCTTCAGGTGAAGTCCATGTATGCAATCATCTGAATGGCTGCTTGAAGTATGTGTTTGTAATGAACAGGTTCTTGGTTTCAAAAAATTCTATGAGTCATTCTCCTGCTTCATTTCTTACATCTAGGCCATATTTTTCTACAACATTTGAGTCTGCTTTGTTTCCCTACTTTCGCATTCCAGTCACCTAGAAATAGCAACATGCCTTGTTTTGATATGTTATTAACTTCCTCTTGAACACCTGCATAAAAGTTTTCAATTTCTTCTTCAGAATCTGTTGTTAGAGTATAGACTTGAATGATAGGTTTTCCTCTGATTGGACTTTGCATTATGGACCCTTACTGCCTGTGCTATGTCTTGCCTCAGTATTAGAGCCACTCCATACCTTCTGAGTTTGGCATTTCCAGAGTAAAATGCTTTTTGTTTGTCTGATTGGAAATGTCCACTTTAGTTCCCTATGTTGGCAGAGAAGTACAGTGATCTTCATTGTTTTAATTTCTTGCTTTAAATGATTTCCAGTTTGCCTGATTCATACTTCTCATGTCCCATGTCCCAGTTGTATGTGTTGTGCAGCATCAAGACTTCCCTTTCAGCTCTCTGCATGCTGGCCACTAGACTTCCTTTCAGTTTTGTTCTAGTAGCATCATTAGTGATAGCGCCACTTGTATTTGTCATTAGCCCTTCTGCAGTAGCTCTCAAAGTGCCTTCCAAACTGTGGGTGGAGGGGGGTCTCATCTTCTGACAGTATCTCTTATTTCATTTTGGGTTGTTTCATCATAGGGTTTTCAAAATAAGAAAGCTCAGAAGTGGATTACTCCTTCTGCACAGTACTAACCAGAATTAGCCTAAATGTCACTGCTGTTGTCTGGAAAGATCCTCTACCAGTGCTGCCTTCAACTACCACTGCTGCTCTTCAGAAGTTTCTCTGGACTGATCACCATTAGAGAGATCCATTCTCTTCTGCTGATGTGGTTGTTAATCCTGAAGAGGGTGGATGCCTCGTAAGTCTGGTGCTTCAGCAATGACCATTCCACCTCAAGCGACCCTGCTAGGAGATCAGCCTTGTGAGACTATTCTGGCCTCTGACAGCATTGCCTTCAGCTTGTTCAATACTCTTAAAACCACCTCACCATGTTAAGGTGTGTATCTAAGAGGATGCACAGTATATATAATGATGGCTTGTTTAGTTTTCTGAAATTGCCAGTTGTGAAACTCTTTTTATTACAGAAATTTTGTAGCAAAATACTTCCTTTGACTTATTCTAGAAAGTCTGCATGTTTTTTGCATCACAAGAGCTATTGCTTCAAACATGGATGGCTGGGGTTGCAACGGACCTGTTGCTGTGGATAATTTTCTCATGTCAAGCTGGGGAGGCAAAGTGGGAGGTTATAGGGTTATCACAGAAACTTCTAACAAGAGCAAAAAGTAGACGAATGCTTGATCCCTGTCAAACACTTACACGACAGGCAAAGTTTTGCAAAGCTTAAGTCCACTAGTCCACTGGTTGTAGAACCCTCAAAACCATCATCCAACATTAGGGAAGGTGCACCCCTGTTCTTTACTCCTACTCTGATATTCAGCATGGCTCTACAGATACAAATGCTTCTGTACCAAATTTCTTAAAGTCCTGTGTACAATAGAAGTTTTAGATTTCTTTTGCCTGCAAATAATCCACTGAGCAAGGCTTGTTGTCAAGGTCAAATGATCTTCATCTGCTTCCAAGTGGAGCAGTGTGCATGATTTCCTTCCCCAGTGGCCTCTTCCCCATCTGCAGTTCCAAATACGAACAAATATAAAATGTCCCATTCAACTTTCCTATCTATCCTAAAAATTAAATCACACAATAAATAGGTTAGGTTATACCCAGAGAATTTCAGTGTTGATACTTCTTTGAATTACATGGCTCCCTTTAGTTGGTAGAATGGAAACATTTGTGGGCTTTTATAACTATAGTGTATATGACACTCAGCTTCCATTCCATTCTTCCCTGTTGGGTACAATAGTTAGGCATAGGAATGCTGGTTTTGTTTTTAAACCTATGCTCATCTGTAGTTGTAGAATGAGACCAAACTGCATGCTATTCTAAAGTTGTAGCTGGACTTCAACTCTTTCATTCTGTTTAGATCAGTGGTTTTCAACCACCAGTTCGCCAGATTTCCTGCCAATCCATGGGATGGCTGCAGCGGACCAGCATGGGAGCTGGATGACCTCTACCACCTCTTTCTCAGTTGGCATCACATATGAGGGGGATGCGCTGGTGCTGCCAGGGGAGAGATGGTTCAGTGGGAGCCAGCTGGGAGCCATGCCATGCTGATTTCAGTATTTTGTTCTTTTGTTGGCATTTTTTATTGCTCGGTTTCTGGTTGTTTTGGATAATTTTCTTTTCTTTTCTTTTTTTTGGTATTGTGTTTGGAAACTAATACACAGAATACTGTATTATGTGTATGGTGCTTTTTGTTTCTGCCTCAGTGGTTGCAGAGGTGGTTTTCCTGTTTTCACCGTCCCTACTTTGGGAAGGTTGAAAACCACTGGTTTAGATGATCTTGGTTGCTTAAAATGTGGAACAATGGCTCAGTCTGCATGACTTCCTGTGCCCGTATCAGTGAACAGACAAATCTGAGACCAGATCCCCCACAAACGACCATCCAGCTCCAACACAGCAGTGAAGCTGGGACTCACCCCAGCACAAGATGCCCTACCTGATGCCTATTGCCCGAGTAAGTCTGTTAGGGGTTTTTTGGTGTTTGAGTGAATGTGGAAAGCTCTTAATACAACATGTTAAAGGATTTTTAAAAAATTGTATACTGCACCACATTTTTCCAGAACAGGCATGCCTGACTGAAAAATGCATTACCAGAGTTAGAGTAAGATAAATCTCCTTAGAAGAAAGTGCCAAAGCAAACTGACATCCAGGCTGTGGAATGACTCCCAAGAGAAGGCTAACCTGGTAGCTACATGGTCACACCAGTACCAGGCAAATGTCTTTTTTAATTTTCCCAGACTCTTTAAGGCCTTTTAAGGTGTCTTAAGAGCTTAAAACGCCCTCTCAGTGCCCAGTGCCCTCTCCACCTTCAGATGCATGTTTGTCTCTGAAGCTTTTGTCCACCCAGTGCACAGTGATTGTCACTTCAGTTTGTGCCATGTATTTTATCTAGATAAAGTGCCAAGGAGGGCGAAGGAAGGAGTCCGGGACGCCAGCAGGAATCTGCTTCCACCCTCTCTGGGCCCTGACATGCCCCTTTGCGCCCCCTGTGATGCCCAGAGACACAGTTCTTTCCATGCTGGCTGTGAGGAGGGCAGCAGAGGAGCTCAGGCTTCATCATTCCAGCTCCAAGAAGGCCACAGAATTGCACACTTGCTCTTTTCATTGTAAAATTCTTTTCAGCCCTCCTGTGCTGATGTTGCAGTTTAGTACTGTCTGGATACTGAAAGCTACCTATGGAGCATGGCACATAGGTGTGTTGAAAAAAACCCTAATTAATATCCCCCTTCACATATTTTAGGCTGAGACTTTGACTTGCAAACAGCTCCTGAGCTGAGCTAAGCTCAAACTAAGCCCCCAAACCTATCAGCCCGCTTTGCTTCAGTCAATCTATAAATGTGAGTAACTTTAATGCCATTCGTTTCTAGAACAGCTCATTGGCACTGCCCACACAGCACCACTAAATCAGACTTCTGGAATTTTTTAGCAACATATGAACTTGTAATTGTGGGTGGAAAGTTGTTATTGGAAAAAGAGTACAATACCCATCACCTTTGTATGTTGTCTGCCAGCTACATATTTGGTGACAGAAACAAACAAACAAATCAAGAGCCTTATTCAAAATGTTAAGACGGCTTATTCTATGATATTTTGACAATTGGAATAAATCTGCTCTGTAGTATTACACAGAGACCCAACTCACAGAGAACAACAATCCTTGAATTATCTAAACCATGGGTTGTCAGGACCAAGCTCTTGACAGTTGAGTTTCAAATTGTTCTGTACCTGGGTTGTTATGTGGTCCAAACCAGGAAACCTTCTGTTGCTTAATGGTTATGCATCACACAGTTAAATCATGTTAGTTGTTGGGTTACTTCTCAGTTATTCAGTTTCTAAACAACCTGGAGTTTTCAGTTTCCGGCATCATGGTAATAACCCAGGTACAGCACCATTCCTGGGTTTTTAATTGCCAAGTATATGAGAGGCAACATCTTTGTCCTAGGTATCTGCATTTGTGGGTTAAATAGCCCAAGAATTGCTGGTACATTCAAACTAAGTCATTATCTGTTGCCAGTGTGGAACTGCAGTCCATAACATAACCCAGCACACTGCCATAGTCTGTGCTTCTGCACATTGTTACAGATGTAATACTGTCTCCTTGAAACTATAATCTGTCAATCAGAAACCAACCTCAAAAATGCAGTTGCTCTGCTACCTCCCTTCTGCAGAATGACTCTTCATTCATGAGTTCAAAAGCATAGGCAGGGTAAAGCTGCCAGCCCCCTCCGCTACACTATTTCTTGAACCTCAATAATTGCTTCACCATTCTTCCAGCAGAGCCTGAGCCATACATACAAAAGAGGAATTTTGTCCATCTGGCTGGTAACCAAACTGGATCTGCAGGGCACCATCTTGGTCTTAAATTAACACGCAACAAGGGTGTGAAGCACAGTTTGCCATGGCCTCTATATGTGTAATGCCTGAATGGGGCTCAAGCACCCTTACATTGATCCAATATTTCAATAAACCTGAAATGAATAGCTTTGAAAATTATAATTATGGGTTGACCTAAGGTTAAACCAATATTTTTTAGGAAAAGGAATATCCAGTGACTGCTGTTACAGCAGTCGGTTTGTTCGACAGGTATAAGTCAGTTGAAGAAATCAGTACTATGATGTATAACATCACTCTCTGTTTTGTATTGAGATGCATCCCTTAGCTGAAAACTGATGTTTATTTTTTCTAGCTTGCTCAGATTTAATCAAAGACAGTGTGCCCTTTAACAAAATGAGTTATAATTAGTATAAGCAGAGCCAAAAACAGAATTTTGGTAATACAGTGCTACCTCGGCTCACGAACGCCTTGGTTCACGACCAAATCGCGTCACGAACAAAAATTTCATGAGAATTTTGACTTGGGTCGCGAACTCCGCTTTGGGTGGCGACCAAGATCGCAGCCATCTCTCCCCCTCCCCCCGAGTGGGGAGATGGCCACAATCGCAGTTGCGTTCGTGCAGGGAATACATGCATGTTCATGGCTGTGCTGTGCTGCGCCCGTCTTTCCTGCAGGGTTTCTTTGAGAAGCACCACCCCAACGTAACTGTAACGAACAGAGTGTTGAATCTGATGAACGATAACATGGTCTCTCATTTCTGGAGGGTTGTGCAGTACAGGAAAAAACAAGTGACTATAGACAGGTTTTTCACCAAAATTGACCCTGAAGCTGAGAGACAAAGAAGGGAGGAAACCCTTGAAAGAGATCTCCCCAGTGTCCTTATGGAGGGGGACCCTCCCTCCAAACAATAACCTCCCCCCCACCTAGGTTAGTGTTCTCCACTGTACTGTACTGTACTGTACTTTGTTACTTTGTTGTTCTTTGTCACTTTGTTTCAAAATTTCTGGTTTAAAAAATTGTTACATAATGGATTAACCTTATTTACATTGAACCTTATGGGGAAATGTGACTTGGCTCGTAACCAAAAACTGGCTCACAACCACATTCAGAGGGGCCAGAACAGTTTAACCTTATTTATATTGAACCTTATGGGGAAATATGACTTGGGTCACAACCAATTTGGGTCACAACCAGAGTCATGGAACGGATTAAGTTCGTGAGCCAAGGTACCACTGTACCTTCATATGTACCAAGAAAATTTTTCAAAATTAAGATAATAACAGTTAAAACCAATTCAAACTCCTACAATTTTACTAAATTCATTGTATAAAATAATTAAATATCCATTTCAGACAATTCTTAAACATTTTGTTTCCTTTTGTTTCCAGGGTATAGGATGTATAGTTAACATTTTATTTTATTTTTTCTTGCTTTGTTTAAAAATAAACAGAATTTAAATAGTCCAAATGGGATGCAGTGAAAAGCTCACAATCTATATCCCAATTCTAAAGATCTATTCAAATATGTAATTTTGGATTTTTGATACAGTTACCATAGTTGTGTCAGGTTAGTAATTTGACCAATAGTGAAATCTTATGCATATTTATGGCTTAAGAAGTAATTCCCACTGTGTTTTATGGGACTCACTTGCAAGTAAGTATGTACATAACTGAAATTGCAGGCTGCAATCCTAGGTCCAACTACTCTGTTGTTAGGTAAACTTTATTACACTCAGTGGGTCTTTTAAGTTTGCATGCATAGGTTTCCATTGTACAAGACTATAATAGCTTAGACACTGATATATAAAGGGACTGGTTCCAGATTTGTGCTTAGTGGAGTTCTGGTGGCACTGGAGGAAAGAAGAAAGATGGCATTTTTTCCAGTCCATACTTCTTTCCTGTAGACAGCCCTTAACATTGCCCCCAAGATATTTAGAGGAATTCTTCAGAGTGGCATTATAAGCTTCAGAAGAAAAGGGAAACTTGATAAAATTGGAGCCTAGTGGGAAGATTTTGCTAGTTCCCATTTCCTTCCATAAATGGGAAAAAAGTTCCTAAAGGGAAAAACTTACATCCAACCCAATGCCATCAACATATAATGAAATTTTATTATTTCTGTTCTGAAATATAATGCCAGATAAGTTAGGAATTAATCGAATTGCTACAGGCAGGATTTCAATGGAAAAATGGAAACAAGAGAAGACAAAGTATTTTGTCCTGCACCATTTTCAAAATGAAATTATACTAACGATACCCAATTCTTAAGTAATATTATAAATTTAACCATCTAATTGACACTAGACTTATTCCGGAGCGACACTTAGAATGACACAAAGAATACCATAATTTTCCATTCTTGGTAGTTAAAAGTTTTCTCCCTGTTGCTAACACTAAAGCTGCTTTTTTCCCTTTTATTTATTTATTTATTAAAACATTTTTATGCCGCCCCATTCGCCGAAGCCTCGGGGCGGCTCACATCATCAAGTTAAAATAATTATAATATAAATTAAAAATATAAATATTAAATTAAAATACAACAATACAGTATAAAATAAGCCGCCCTGGCCAAATAAAACCAATAATGTTAACAGTTAAAATGCCGCTTGAATAAAAAGGTCTTTGCCTGGCGCCGAAAAACAAACACTGATAAGTGATGTATAACACTGATAGTTCTCAATGGTCAAAATGAATCAGTAGCAACAATTCCTGCCTGAATTGTGTGAGTATATCCAGCTATTATTGTTATAACTGTTAGAAAGGTATGCTTTTTTAATAGTTCCATAATAATATTGGTTAATGATATTCTACATTTGGCTTGCTTCTGTTGAGTTCAGCTATTACTGCTGTATGGGTCAAAGAAAGAAAAAGATCTCATTTTATTGGCTGGTCAATGACCAATTGATTGATTGAAGATCTCATTTTGTCTTTTGCATATTCTGTAGACTACAACTAGATATAGTGCCAGTTTCAGAGCAATTTATCAATGGAATTTCAAAGATAAGCCATTCTGTTCAGGAATTGTATTTCATTTCAGTGCATTAATTACTTCTTACATTTCCTGATTTCCTAAAATGTGTTTTCCTGTAATAAAAAGGATATTTGTAATAAAAAGGGTATTTGAAGCTGACATAAATCTGTACATAGCATTAGGATCTGAATACCTGATTTATATACAAATTATGTGTGTATACAAATTCTAGTAGTATTTCTAAAGTGATGTATCATATAGGCAGAACTGTTTTGGAAACCTAAGCTTCTAATACTTTATCTGCTAAGATTTTCCCTGCTTTTTACTGCTTAAAGTAAGTTTGTTTATTTAGAAGTTGATTCTAAATTTGTTTAGGAGTATGATTCTTCAGAGCAAATTATTTGTAAAGGAAAATTTGTTAAATGTTGTCTGATATTGTTTCCAGTAAAAAGTTTTCAAGTTTTCAAATGATAGGAACACAGGAAGCTACCATGTATAAGTGGACTACCTACTTGTCTGTCTAGCCCGAACTAGGCAAGAGCAGACCTCAAATGTCTCAGGCAAAGGTCTTCAACATTACCAGCTGACTAAAAGAAAAAGAAAAGCTAGGGATGCTGAAGCCTGAACCTTCTGCATGCTACTTTCTATTATTGAGCAATGACTGGTCCCCTGGATTTTAGCTTTTACTTCATTTTTATAGAAAGGGGAGGGTGGTGTGCAGCCTTCCTAAGTTATGATACCAATTTGTATGCTGTTGATAGATTTCAGGAAGAATGGTGTACCAAAAATAGACTACCTGGGAGTGAATCTTATGAATATGTGGGTAGTATGTGAAATCTGTCTTATTGGGAGGATAATGTTTCCATATGTCCTGTGTAATTTTAGATATTAACAATTTAACTTCTGCTATGGAATAGTGTTATAATCCAGCCAATTTAGAGCTGTCTGATTTTGGACTAACTTCATTTTTGCAATTGTCACCTGTGGGGATATTTCTTTCTATCCAGTTGTTTTACTATGCTTTCAAAATTGTTTGGGGCATATTTAGGTGTAGAATTTTTTTTTTAAATTCAGACTTCATCATTCTGATCAGGGCTTCTCTATCCAATCCATTGATTGTGCACTCATGACTCGCCCCTCACAGAAGTTCACAGGGCCTTTTCACAATGTTTTCATCCTCTGGTGTAGAAATAAATAAATAAATAAATAAATAAATAAATAAATAAATAAATAAA